ATATATATAAAGCCTCCATCCATATAGTATAAAACAGTGTTATATAAAGTACCACAAAGTGATACTTGTGTAAATGTACAAGCATCTTACAAAAAAAAAACCTTTGGTAAAAGTTAAAGTCTCATTTAGGAATCTTACTTGCATAAAAGTCATAAAGTATCTGATATTTTTTGTACTTAAATATTAAAAGTAAAAGTATTGATTTAAAATGAGCAGTTAGATTTTACCTAATGACATTGGTGACCTCCCTCCAAGAAAAAAATAAAATAAAAGCAGAAATGACTATCTCGTAGCTATTAAAATAATTAATTTATGTTAAATTTAGGATGCACTAGTCCAGCTGTTCAAGGCAGCCCAAACCTTTTTACCCCAAAATGAAAATCTATTCGAGGGCTGCAGCCAAATGCAATAACATAATTCATGAAATACAATAAATACAAATTTTAATTGTCCTTTTATTTTAATGATTATGTCCTGCTGGAGTGTGGCAGGATTTGTTTGTGTACAAACTAATACGGTATCAGAATTTTATATATATTTATACTTCTCATTCAACCACCACAATTAAATTTACTCTATCTAGGAGGCACAATTCATATGGATAGTATTTTTTTTACATTAAGCTGGAATGAAAACAAGCAAAAATAAAATAAAAGTAACGATTTTCTACTTCTTACCTTTTTTAAATATAAGGAGTAGAAAGTACAGATAACTGTGTGAAAATGTAAGAAGTAGAAGTAAAAAGTAGGCTGAAAAATAATTACTCAAGTAAAGTACAGATACCCCAAAATTCTACTTGAGTATAGCAACAAAGTGTCGCTACTTAGTTACTTTACAACTCTGGTATAAAAAATTAATACAGCAATACAGTCCTTGATCAGTTGATCATAAATTTATGAAATGCAGTCATATAAATATAAAYATTAAAACACTACAATAAAAATATAAATGGGAATATGGTTAGAATACAAAAGTCTCGTACAAGTCATGTTCTACAGTTTTAGACGACGTTTAAACTCTTAATTACCCCTATTGGGAAAATATTTCTTGTGATGATACAGAGGTTTTAATAAATCTAAGACATTTTTGTTATCATGAAGAGCCAGAKTTCATCAGCAAATCAGAACAGGTAATTCTTCAGAATCAGCTGTAGGACTACATTACCCATAATTCCTCTTCCACTCACGTGACACGACATGCGCTGTCAGGTGGTTTTCTCTTTACAAGCAGGCAAAAACACCGGGGCAGGCAGGCATTCTTCCGACAGAGGCAGAAGGTAAACAGCTTCACGATTTTATTATTATTATTTTTTATAAAAACACACCATTTTCAGTAGGTTTGATGGATAAACGATGTTCTGGTGAAAAACGATCGTTTCATTTCAGGTAGCTGTGCCATTTTTAGCTAGCTATTGGTCTCGTAAAAACAAAAGGTTACGTTGACAAATCTGTGCTAGCATTCATTCAGATGATTAAATCATTAAATATAAAGACTTGAATGACTCTTAAGAGGAAGTTTAAGGGGTCAGATATATTTTTTATTAAATTGAGGTCACATCTTTCCTTTATTGACAGTTTTTTCCGACATCAAACTCAGAAATTAAACTCAGCTCTAATCTGTAACTGATTAAACCCGAGATGATTAAATCATTTGTGTTTACTTGTGTCGTTTTAAATTAGGAAGCAATTTAGTGACCCCAGAAAGAGTGGGGTGTTTGTGGAAAATAAACATTTGATTTGGTGAAAAGGCTTGACTTATTTGCAAAACTATTTTACAGCTTTTTTTTTGGTGATAGTGAAAAGTCTCATCATCAGGGTTCTTCTTTAAAAAAAATCATTCACAATGAACGTATAGATCTGTTATTTTGTAATTAAATGCTTATAGAGTTTATATTTTGAACTGGGTTGTACTCTTATTCTGAAATGAAAAATAATCATTGATGGTCAGAAGCCTAGTCGTATATTTTAATAGAGAATTGTTTTAATACAGAATTAAAGATTTTTCACACATCAGTGAAATGTTTGTGTCACAAGTTATTCTGCAATACATACATACTTTTGGAAATCAATAAACAAGCTGTTTAGCAAAAACTGGATAAAAGTCTTTTAATTACATGTATTTATTTTGTAATGTGATTTTACACGGTCTTTTGCCTTCAATGCTAATCAAACCTTTTCATTACAGATCAAGCACTACAAATGAATGTCTCACTGCTACTTCATGACTCCTGGTAAGAAATCTCAGCTGCCTCCTGACGACTCGATCTTCAGCTGCAGCCGACTGGTAACCTCATCTTCTGACATCGTTTGCCTCTGAGAACCATCTCCTCATGGCGATCAACACCGACATCGAGGACTGGGCCGGGATTGGCAGCAGTGACTCTGGAGAGAGAGCGTGGCTGCTGCAGAGCCCCAGCGTGGACTCGGTGCGCCAGCCCGAGGCGGAGGAGAGGAGCCGAGGCGTGTCGCCCCTGGGAGCCGTCTTCATCGTGGTGAACGCGGCGCTGGGCGCGGGGCTGCTCAACTTCCCCGCGGCCTTCAGCATGGCGGGAGGAGTCACTGCAGGAGTGATGCTTCAGATGGTGAGGAGACACCCTCAGGACGTCTGTCTTTGTAGAAGGCATTAATGAACTGTAATGTAACAAACAGCTGGGCTGCAGGTTTGTGGACAAACACTCGTCATCAAATAGGTCCTAAGTATTATTAGAAACACCTTAAAGAAAGAACTGGGATTAAATTGATATTAGGAGAAGCTAAATAACTATAATAGTAAAAATCACATATTTTATGTTGTTTTTGACAAAACGTATTGTGCTTTTTAAAGAGTGTTTAATTTAATCCCACTGATGACACACCTTATCTTTATGTTTGTGACCAGAACAAACACAGAAACTTAAGGCCCTGTCACACTAGACAACTTATGCCAGATTATGAACATTTTAAAGACGTCTATGTTGAAGATGGAATTGCAAAAATCAACAGGAAGCTTCTTTTAGGCGTGTACATAATGTAATTCTAACAAACTGATCAAATATATAACTTTTATTAAAAAATTAGACATAAAAAATGTTTCATAAGTTGGCATAAGTTGTGTGGTGTGACAGGGCCTTTACCACAAACAACAAATCCTGATGTTCTGTTGTTTTTGTGTTTCAGTCTATGCTGATCTTCATCATCACCGGGCTCGTAATCCTCGCCTACTGCTCCTTGGTACGAAACCATTTTAACCTTTATTCTTATCTACTTTACTGCAACCATCTGACTCTGACCACTTTTGTCTGAAATTGTGTTTTCTACTCCACTTGTGGGAAAAAAAAATCAGCATTTTTTTGCAACCATGTCTTTTTTCTTTTGTAGTCCTGGTCAAATGCAGAACTTACGAGTCGTAAGGACTTTCACTTCCTAAATAACTCAGACAAATGTTCACGTGCTGAAACATAAAGTGAAAACAAACTAGAACAAATGACTGTGGTTGGATAAATGTTCAACAGGTGAACAAACACAGAAATGKTTTTTTTTTTTTAAGGTTGTTGCTTTAAGCTCCATTTGCTGATTTTTGAAAGCAGGTTTGCTCATTCAATATTTATTCTAATATTGACATGTTTTTCTGCGATGACCCTGTTGTGTGTTTTTTAACACGAACAAATCGTTTTAAACTCCATGTCTGGTTTCTTCAGGTCAGTAATGAAGCCACCTATCAGGAAGTTGTTCGGGCCACCTGTGGGAAAGTTTCAGGTGTTTTGTGTGAAGTCGCCATCGCTGTCTACACCTTTGGCACCTGCATCGCCTTCTTCATCGTCATCGGAGACCAGCTGGATCGCTGTGAGTTAGGTTTTTTTAAATCTAAATCAGAGAGAAAACACAGCAACTGCCGTTTTGTCTGTGTTCCTGAGGTTATTTATTTAACGTAAGGGAGGAGGTCAAAGAGCGTCAGGAATGACTCCTCAGCGTTTTCTCTCCGTCAGCGAGTCTCTCATGTGACTCTGACTCGTTCTGCCTCTGAGATGCTGACACAGAGGAAATCTGGTCCTTTTGTTTCCTCTCTGTTTGTTTAAAGCAAATTAAAGGAAGTCTAATTCCTGCCTGCCGCCATCGGAAGTGATCCGTCATGTTTGGTGTTTGTTAGCAAAATATCTCATGAACCTCTCACTTTATATAGACCCCAGCTGAAGGGTTTAAAAGCTTGATACACGCCTTTAAAGATAGTTTATTTCCTGTTTGTGTTGCAGTGATCGCTGCAGTGGCTCACGTCTCGGACTCCGCTGGTCCCTGGTACACCGACCGAAAGTTCACCATCGTCCTCACTGCCGTCCTGGTCATCCTGCCTCTGTCCATCCCCAAAGAGATTAGTTTCCAGAAGTATGCCAGGTACAGAGCTCCTTCAGTGACACAGAAATATATTGATCTTTTTTTTTTCACTTGGTGATCGTGTTGCTTGTTGTTTTCTGCTGCAGCACTCTGAGTGTGATGGGAACGTTTTACGTCACCATCGTGGTCATCGTGAAGTACATCTGGCCCAACAAAAGCACATCTCCAGATTATGTCCTGACCAGGTAACGTATTTAAGTCCACGTTCAACTCGTCACATCCACACTCCGTTGCTCTGTTCGGCTTATTAATCCCTCCGTTTCGTTGCAGCTCTGCCTCCTGGACTGCAGTTTTTAATGCCATGCCCACCATATGCTTCGGCTTCCAGGTACCTCCTGATCATTTGGCACTTTAAACACTATCCTGTGACGCGGCTGTGACTCTCATGGAGCTTTCTGTTCCCCCTGCAGTGTCACGTCAGCTGCGTGCCGGTGTTCAACAGCATGAGGAGGAAAGAGATCAAACCGTGGGTCTTCGTAGTCACACTCAGCATGATCATCTGTCTTTTTGTTTACACGGGAACAGGTACGCCGCTCAGTCATGCATTTTTTTTTTTCAGTTTAGATTAACGGCGGCAGATTCACAGTTAACTGCACGTTTAACTGCCTCTTGTGGTTTCTGTGTGATCAGGCGTCTGTGGTTACCTGACGTTTGGCTCCAGCGTGAGTCAGGACGTGTTGATGTCGTACCCTCCTGATGACGTCGCCGTGGCCATCGCAAGAGCTTTCATTGTCATCTGCGTGGTCACCTCGTACCCCATTTTACATTTCTGTGGCAGGTAAAATACAGTTAAAACACAACTTGAGTCAATAAATGCTCAAAAAGGTTCAGTTCAAGAGAATATTTAGTTTAAAAAGTGCACCATTGTTTATTTCCTTAATTTTCTTGTGACCAAGCTTTTTACTTGAGCTTGTTGTTTTAAAGTTGGACTTCCTGTCTTCCATTTTAATAAAGTTGTAACTCAGGGGTGGGCAGTCCTGGTCCTCGAGGGCCGCTATCCTTCATGTTTTACTTGTTTCTCTGCTCCAATCCCCTCAGTTTAATGAGTGGCTGACCAAGCTTCAGCAGAGCTTAAACAGATCATTTGTTCAGTGGATCAAGTGAGTTGGAGCAGTGAAAACAATAAAAACATGCAGGACAGCCAGGATCGCCAATCTAATGGATTTTTAATTTTTTTTTTAAATTTTTCTCTTTTTATTATCATAAAAATATTCAGGAAATAAAAATAATGGTGATGTTTGAGGCTATAATGAACTTCCTACTTTAAGTTTTTTAATTTTTTTATATCGGTTATAAATTTCTTACTATTTTACAGTTTTCCTAGTTACTGTACCTACAAGCTAGCTACAGAGCTTTTTTTATTGAAAGCTTTATACAAACCACAAGGCAGTAATACAAACACATATTCAAATACAAAACAAATAGGCATAGGTGCAGAACAGATAACTTAAAAGAGTAAATAAATAAAATAAAATAAAACAGTGGAAACGGGGGCAATTACGGGCTACAAAACTGCTAAATTATGTTCTTCAATAATGTTGAGACGTTTTTTAGTGATAGGAGACAATTATTTTAAGGGCTTTTACATAGATTAGAAACTCATTAAGAAAAACACAAAATTTAGGAGACATTTTCTTACATTTGGATTTGTGTATATATGGTTTATCAAGAATTGTAACAGTGTTCATCAAAAGGGATGTGTTTTTACAGTATAAGACCAAAAATAATGTCTTTCTGACAGAAATTTCCAAGCTGAGAAAAGCTAGGTTGTAACCATTTAAAAACATCTTGCCAAAAAAACCAGAGAATTTTCAATGAAAAAATAAATACTTCCTACTTTAATATTGTACCCATTGTGTTGATTTACTAACAGTGTCCCAATTCAGGGGCTGCAGCCTACCTAGACCGCGGCCCACAGAGGCCACGCCCTCTGCTGGCCGTGTAGGCTGCATGAAACGGTTGTGAAATGAGACGGTCTAGTTTTTGGATGACGTTTGCTTGTGTGACCGCGCTCTGCCCCTTCATCATAGTGACACATTTTATATCAGACTTAAAATCCATTGGGTTGTCTTCACAACCGTGTCAACGCAGCAAAAATGTCATCAGCTAAGTTGTTAACCCCTTGAGCCCCAATCATTTCCTGTTTTCTAAGTCTTTAACTTGGACATGTTTGGTTTCAACAGAAAGCTGAGAATCTTGGCTAAAGCTCATGGAAACTATTTTTACCACATTATCCACTAAATAGTGCAAATGATAGTTGAATCAGAAAGTAAACAAACTTTGCAGAATGGGATTGTTACAAATCTGTAAATACATTACAACAAATCTGTAAAGGAAACATTTTTGACGTTAGTTTTTAAAGTAAGTCAAAGCAGATTCCTAAATAAAAAGTAAAAGTAAAGTGTGTTGAAAGTTATTTTTTTACTTGATTTTGAGTGAATATGGTCGAACTGAAGTCAAATATAATTTCTCATTATATATGGTGACAAATAAATGTTTGGATAATTTTTCAAAAGAACAAACATTCAATAACAAGTCTTTTCATGCAGGTAAGAAAAAATAAATAACTTTTGCAAATAAAAACTTAACATTTCTTAATGGTACCTACATGGTCCGTCCTGTGCAGAATGACAAAATGCAAAATTATTTCTTCATTAAAACCTCAGTAACTTTGCTCCAGTTCATTTTAGCAGCATGAATCTTTGCACAGGTGATGTCCACAAGTGGATTTATGGTTTTCAAGAGTTTTTAGCCTCAGTCATTATGGTTTTAAATGGTTTATATACTGTCTAATGCAAACATTATTCAGACGGGAGGGAAATTAAAAAAAAAAGTTCCATCCTCAATATCTCTAAAACACAGCAGCTGTTTTAATACTTACACTTCTAATAAAATCTCCCAAGTGTTAGCTTTATTTTGTTACCAAGATTATTTAAGTAGAGTTTGTAAATGGTGAGATACACTCAGTTATATTTCAGCATGGTATTTAGAGCAAAAACATCAAGAAAACCCCTTGGGGCTTAAGAGGGTAAACTTAGATTTAAAAACCAATTCTTTGGTCCATGATGAATTTCCAAATCCCCCTGTTAAAACAAAACTCCGCTCTCTTCGTTTTCTTGTTTCATTTACGTGTTTTGGTTTTGTATTTTTATTTTGCTGAGCATCACTTTGGTAGCCTTGAGATGTGCAAAGTTTGATATAAATAAAGTTTTGACTGATAGTCCCTGTGCGATCATGTGACCCCCTGCAGAGCCGTCATAGAGGGGCTTTGGCTGCGTTTCCGAGGTGAACAGGTGGAGGTGTGCGTGCGCCGCGAGCGCAGGAGGCGGATCCTGCAGACGCTGGTGTGGTTCGTGGTCACGCTCATCCTGGCGCTCTTCACCCCGGACATCGGACGTGTGATCTCGCTGATCGGGGGGCTGGCAGCCTGCTTCATCTTCGTCTTCCCGGGTAGCGCTGCGTCACCCAGGTCTGAGCTCACCCTGCAGGTTTCTTGTCCCGCTCTGACGTCTGCTTCCTGTTCACACTCCACAGGTTTGTGTTTGATGCAAGCCAAGCTGTCGGAGACGGACGTCCGGACTCCGAGGTGAGGCTGAGGGTTTGACGAACGCACCGATGAAGTGATTTAACAGGTTTTTGTTTGAATTATTTTAACTTTTTGTTTTTCCAGTTGGCAGGGACTGGTGGTCTTCAGCATCGTCATGGTAACTCTCGGCACTTTCATCTTCGGCCTCACCACATCAAACTCCATCTACAAGGACGTCGTCCACTAAAAGCGCCGTCGTTTCGGTGGGAACTGTGCAGCCGCTGCTCGGGTCAGCTGGATGAGAAACGTCTCATCATCACAAAACGCTGATGGATTCCAGACTTTGTTTTTACTTTCCTTTCTCTGTGAAGTCTCAGCATGTTTTTTTTTTTTTTGTTGTTTTCAGACGGCTCCAAAGGGAAACAAGCCGGCTCTTCCTGTTCCTGGAAGCCGTGAAGGCGACTCATTCCTGTCGGCGTCGTTAGAGGAAGGGTTTTTGTACAGAAAGGGTTTTAATCAAATTGATTTTAATGATGGAATTGTACCAATTTGTGAGCTTTAACCGTGCATGCCAACATTTCTCACAGAAAAGGCATGCTCTGGTCTGTAATCGAACCCAGGGATGGACTTTATGTTCTGACTTCTCGAACGACAATATTTTACCTCACGTTTGTTTTTATCATCACAGGCTGTGAGGATCCAACCTGACTGGAAACAAAACACTTGATCATGTTTTTATTTATGGAAACACTAACGGGTGGCATTTAAAACTGATGAAGATTATTAGATTTCCTGAACTGTGAACTGATTCATACAATCAAATACAAAAGGTACAGTTGATTAATGTGAGGAGGGAAATAAATACCAGCCTGTCAGACTGGAGATGCAGGTCTGGATCTGTGCGTCAGCCAACAGGAAGTAAAAAAAAAAACAAGCGCCATCTCTGAACGGTGCTGGCTCCTCACTGCTAAACATCAATGAGCTCAAGAAGCAAAACAACCTAATTTTCCTGACAGGAAGTTAAAAGTTTACATCAGTTATTGAGGAGACTCTAAATTTATTTTATCAGGAGAAATAAAGTGATCATCTTTGCTTTAAAACTAAAATGTGAACATTTTCTTTTTGTTGCTTTGGTTCCCAAATACAATCATCCTCTTAAAACTAATTAAAATTCACACAATTTCCATTTTATCTGCACAAGAACTGAAGTATATTTAGATAAAATCATTTGTGCATTTTCAGACAGGAAACAGCATTTAGCTCTGACAGTTTAGATTTAAATGATTTTACATATTTTCTGTTTTTGTAAAATCAAGTGAAACACTATGTTGATATTGAACAAAGTCTAAAAGGGATTTTCCTTTTTTTATACTCAGAAAATGTTATTGTAAACAATATCAAATATGCTGCAGTCAGAAAATGTTGGGTTTTATTTATTTAAACAGTTTTTTATAGTTTGATCAATAATTTGTGTCATTTTTTATATATGTTGTTTTTGTTGCAGGAAGTTGCTTTAATGACCTTTTATTTGCTGCTTTTTCTGACAGGAAAACCCCACTTTAATCACATATGATCCATCAGACTTCATGTATTCTTTCAGAAACACTTTAATATGAAGATACTCAAAGTAATGAAAAAGCATCAAAGGAAAAAAATAAACATTTTGGATTTTACAAGTTTTGAAAATCTTATTTTCAAAATAAAATGAAGTCAACAGATTTCATTTGATAGATTAGGAACAATGTTAAAAAGCTTTACTAATAATAATAATAAAAAATGACATTCAGCTTAATTGCAGATATAAATATTATTTAGCATTAAAGCATATTTCTGGTGGGTTTTTAATTAAAGTACAAACAACATCCGTTTGCAGTATAATGAGGTCAGAGTGTTAAACAGAAAATCTAATTGTTTAACCTCAGTTCAGCTGAGCAGATGTGTTTCACACAAAACAATCATAACTTAATGAACAAATTATTTTTGTTAAATTAGTAACCATTAGTCTGTTCCCTCCAGGCGTTACAATCCCTTTTAATAAACCATGTTTATTAGTAGTAATTAGGTTTTCTGTATTTTGGCTCATTCCTCTTTTCCCTTGAACACAAGCTATATGATTAGTTTGAAAACCATAGGACTGAACTAAAAATAAATTCCATATATATATTTTTATATTAAATCTTGGGAGAGGGGCACAGCTTTGTAAATTGGACATTTTAGTTCCACCATCAGGTCACAGTTCTATTAAACAAAAAGGACACTTAGTGAAACTCATTCAGTTTATCCTCCATTCATCCCTAAAAAATGAGTAAACATTGTGAGATTAAAATCACAAGAGACTTATTTCCCTGAGAATAATGACTACATGAATCTCCATCTGGGCTCAGTAAGAACTGTTTGTGAGAAAGGACTGGAACATGTGGAAAGCTGGACCCGGAGCCCACTGAGGAACCATGTGACCCGCGCCCTGAAGCATAAAAAAAACAACAATTATGTAGAGTAATCCTCCCACCACACCACCTGAATCAGGACAGACGTGAAAAACTGATTAATTCTTACCTTTACTGTCAGAAACGTGATGTTTCCAAAYTGCTGATAAAAACCAGCAACCTGGTCGTTGTCGATCCAGATCTGGTATTTACTGGTTTCCTAGAAACAGTTTAGGACAATTTAGTGATGTTTCTTAAAAGATGGGATACAAAAAAAAAACCTAACAAAATACAAATAAATAAAATAAATAAATAAAATCTTCAAAAGGAAGAATAAACCAGATTATTTTAAACTAGTTTTGAGAGAAAATCTAAATTTAGCACAAAAAAAGTGTTTTTGTTGTAACATTGGGCCTCATGCAAGAACATGTTYGTATTCTTATCCTAAATTTCTCTTACTTTTGTTCGTACAAAAGGGTTCGTACGAACATGTCACGGCAGACTCAACAAACTCTTCTGTCTTCAGGAAAAGTGTGTAAATGAGCTGCGTAAATTCCACCTGTTCGTATCCAGCTGCTCGTGCACGCGAGAGGAGATTAGCATAATTACCACCCCAAAAACACCATATAAGGCTATGATTCCTGCCTCAGATACAAGGAAGTGTCCATTCATGAAAAAATGACAGCGAAAACTAAAAAGAAAAACTTTACGAGTTCAGAGATTGAAGTCCTGCTATCAGAGATCCAGAAAAGAAAATCTGTCATTTTTAGCAGGTCAGCTGTGGRATAAAAAGAGCTGCTAAAAGTATAAACAACTGTGTTAAATCATTTTCATTTATTCAGAAGACACAGCGCTGCGCACCGTACACCCCCCAACCCACCACCACCCCGCGCGCGGTCACAGGTGGTCTCAGTTGTGGGTCTGAACTAAGCATTTTAAAATGTTTTCAAAATAAGTCTGGCACTTTGGAGAAAATCCAGGACTCGCTGGAGGGATTGTGTACCCCCTCTGGTCTGGGAACGTCTGAGTCCCCCAGGACGAGCTGGAAGGTGTCGCTGGGGAGAGTGGGGTCTCTCTCCTGCTGCCCCTGCGACCCGATCCCGGATAAGTGGCAGAAAACGGACAGACAATTTATATTTTTAGTCTAAATTATTACATTTAAAATTATAACTAATTCAAAGAGAATAGCCTATTGTCAACATAATTATGGAGTGTGATTTATTTTCAACTCAAATTATCTTCAAACTAACRAAATATAAAGTTATTAATGAAGAAAACCCGTCTGGATAACAGCAGACTGACTGCTCATAAAATATACGACAGGTCTGGACCACTCGCGAATTTTGTTCGTTTCTGAAAAAATTCTTAGAATACAAAAACATTGGTGAATGCCACAAATTCTCCTAAATCACTCGTACGCACAATTTAAGAACAAATCTGTGCGTACGAACGGTTCTTGCATGAGGCCCAATGCTTCTTGGTAATAAATCTTATTGTTGGAAATCCTGTTTATTTCCCTTTTAAATGGTGCAACATTTGTAAGGAACATGCATTTATGAGGTGAGCAGTAGAGCTGAGTATGAGGGTTGCACACAAGAATAATTAGCCAAATCTTCTCTGTCAAATAGCTCAGTCTGCTGTTATTGACTCTTGTTTAGAGTTTCTGGTGCTCCTTATAAGATTTATTGGCAAGAAGCAGTTTTACAACAAAGAAACAATCTACCAAACACAAATGTACTCATGTTTTGTGCCAAGTTTGGATTTAATCAGCTTTATTGATGAGGTCAAGGTTTACAGTWTGAGTTTTATTGTTTGCTTTTAAGAATCTTTATGTTTTAATTTAAAATGTGATTTAAAAGCATCAAAAGTGTTAGGGTTCAGAGACTTTACAGCTCTATGGCTCAACTGTTCTATTTTTTTTTCAAGATAAAAACATAAAACAGTCCTAAAATATTTGATCTGTTTGCTTGTTCTGATGCCTGCAACATTTTGTTTTGTATCGTGTGTTTCCAAATGTCCTTTTTATTTTAATTCTGTGTTGTCAAAACTTCACTGTAAAACTTAAGAGTAAAAAAAAAGTTCATGAAAATATTCCAAGCGGYCCAGAATGAAAGCTACCTTTAAGCCGAGGTCCTCCACAAACCACTGATCTCCCAGGAAGTTGCAGGCCATGTCTGTGTCTCCGTTGTAGACGAGCGCCCGCAGGCCCAGAGAGAGCAGCTTCAGATACACGTTCTTCATCGTCGAGTACAAAATATCATATTCATTCCCAACCGCGTCACTGCAACAAGACAACAAGAAACTTAAGATATCCTTCAGTTATTTGCTTTATTTCTTTTCTCTTTAAAAGGAGGCACAAAAAGATTACTATAGAAATTTGAAGTGTTGAAGACTTTTCTTTAAATTCAAAAAGGTCAGAGACTGAAAAACTAGATAAATAACTTAATAACTAAACTAAATAAGACTAAAACATAAAACGTCACCTTCCTCGTCGCATCGCTAACAATAACTGAGCTGCCATCTTGAATTCTGAAATCTTCCACTTTCCGACAGGGAATTCCCACTGGAAGGGGAGTTCCAGTTTAAATTTCTACTTCCCAGTACAACTGGGCTGCAGCAGCAGGCAAAAACGCAACGAAAGGATCTTTTACACAGTGAATTATTTCACAGTTAAAATGATMCTTGTCTTTAAAATGTATCAGTGAAGAACCTGCAGATGTCCCACGGAGGCAGCGTGTCGGGAACGTGTAAAGCTTTCCTCACGTYGCCTCTGTTCAGCCAGATGGTCATCGCCTTGCTGTCGATGCAGGGAGGAACTGAGCTCAGAGAGAAGGAGGACGGCCTCACGTCTGGCAGCTGCATGTGAAAACATCACCGTGATGCTGAGAGGATTCAGATAAAAACACAGAGGAAAGCAGCGAGCAGCACCTTGTAGGCGTGCAGGTTCTTCCTGAAGTTCCTGAAGACATGACTCATGGTCCTGACGTAGCCTTGGTGGTATGCTTGGTGGCTTTCGCAGTCCAGGTACAGAGCGTACTCGTTCAGTCCGCTTTCATACACGATCTTGAAGGCTATGTTCACCTGGACCGGTGGGGGGGACAACAACATGGTTTTACAGAAGCAGAAAGTCTAAAGCACATACAGGAACTGAACGCACACACGTACCATTGTCCTGCAGGCCTCAGAAGTGTTGTTGTAAAAGTTGCAGCTTTTCTTGTTGCAGCAGTTTGTGTTCAGATCTCGCCACAGACTGCACAGAAAACAGATCAAAGAGTTCTGAAAACTTAAAAAAACGTTTTTAAAAAGTTCATATCATGTAGGGCATGCCGTTATAGCATATAATGAACCAGTAYGGCAACCTGTTGTATCCTATAATGAAAAAATATGGCATGCCGTTGTATATATAATTACTAAAATATGGCAAGCCATTGTGTTATGTAACTGTAAACTACTGCAGTCTGTTGCATCATGTAATAAATAATTATGACAGTTCAATGTATCATAATTAACATGTATGGCAGGCCATTGTCTCGTAATTTAAAAAAATATGGCAGGTCCTTGTATCATATAATTACTGTACATCAGGCTGTTTTATCAGTAAAAACTATACAATATTTATTTTTTTCCAGTTTTAAAATGTTTCTTTCAGTTTAAAAAAATATATTTTTTGAACAAACCTTATGGCCCCAAGTTAGCTCCATATTTAACTGGCAGTGAATTCAGATACACAAACATAAACCACCAATAAAAACAGAAAATGTCAGAATATGCCTCCTTAAAGTTTGCATCTTCAGGTAATTTTCAACAAGCCTGCTGGAAACTCAGTTCATCCTAATTTCTTTACCCATTTCAACAATGCAAATAAATCAGTGTCAGAAAACACAAGAGGTTGCTCGAGGCCTTTTTTAGACCAGAYTGAAAGTCAAACCAAACATCAGTTTCTTCAAACTGCTATATACATATATATGTATGTATATTAGATTAAATATCCAAAGTACAATCATAAACTGGATGTTATATGAGACTCACTCTTCTCCAAACAGGCTGTGGTAATAACCAAAGTAGATCAGAGACTGATCGTTCAGATCGAAGCTGCTCAGGCCGTTTCCCACTGCAAAGCCCTGASAAAAGGTGTGAGCGTTCAGATTTAAAAAGGCGGGGCTGTTCATAAAAAGTAAAACCACGGGGTCTCCGAAAAACCTCACCTTGAAGTTGATTTCGGCCCTTCCGGTGGCCACCAGCAGGCTCAGCATCGGTGCGTAAAATCCTCCATAACTTTCYCCAAAAATGAAGAACTCGTTCTCTGTGAAGTTTGGGAACTTCACGAAGAAACTCTGAAGGGCTCTGTAGTTATCTTTTGCKACCTGAAACAAGAGCAGGTAATCTGGTGTCTAGCAGAGTTCAGTCAAACATTACTTATAAAACTATTTTTTTAAATAAATAATTCACCTTATCATCGTTGGTTTTATACTGCTGGTCATCAGAGTAGGAGTAACCCACTCCTGCGGGAGACTCCAGGTACAACATGTTGGCGATTTTATTCCAGCTTAAAGGATTCTCATACAGGGTTTCCCCGTCATCATTCACCTGAAACACAAAACCATCATCACCGACTGACAAATCTGTCAAACGTGTTCATTTAAAGTGAGAAAACTCACGTGGAACGGTCCGTTTTCTGACAAGAACCCATCCAAGGAGCTGCAGCCRGGACCCCCGTTCAACCAGAGCACCACGGGGTCTTTGGACGGGTTCCTCTGAGACGTCACAAACCTGCAGGAGATTATTTTCATTGTCTAATCTGTGGGTCATTTTAACCCAAGTGTCCTTTGAACTGGACAGATAACGCTGGTCTTTGTGTGCATCATGTGCCGGGAGGTRCTAAATTCACTCACCTCTGATCAGGCAGCTGCGTAAAACCCATAATGATACAACACAAAAGTTTTGGCATTTCGATGCACTAAAAAAACAAAACAAACTTCTTCCACGTGAACGCATCATTTATAACATAACCCCTCCTTCACTCAAGCTCATATCTTGATTTAAAGAGACAGGGAGACATGTTGTGTTATGAGRTTCTAGTAATCTTACAAAAACTAAGGGAAATAAAAAAGATCGGGGCTAAAATGATAAAATTGTGCAGCCAAAAGGGGCAGTGTTTTTATTTTATTTATTTGGAGGTGACCACTCGGTGGCGCTCCTTTTGATTAAAACACTTGTTTTAAGTTTTTCTGTCAATTAAATTAAAACAAAACAAACACATTCAGACCTAAATATGTTGGTTTCTGTTTCTTACCAGTAGTGGAGAAACCTGCCAGGCCCTGCGTCCAGGTACCCGGACCACTGCTGGTAGTTGGGTTTGAACGTCATCCCGGGCAGCTGCTGGACCTCATCAGGGTCGTACTGAGCGCGTGCGCCAAGCGGAAAAACGCACAACAAACACAGCAGGAACCCGCCGGAGTACATGACTCCAACCTCACTCTGTTCACACTAATTAAAAACAATAATAATAACAAGGAAGAAAAACTGAGTCTGCTGGTGGAGACAACTTCCTGCACCTCCGTCCTCAGTCTGCACCGAGTGAGCGTCACATGACTGCTGCTGCTCCGAGTCACGTGACCTCCGCCTGACTCTACCCGGAAATAAAGATACGAAATTATTTATCTGAAGAGGCAATAGTTATTATTTGCACTTAATAAAAACTGAATAAAAACACAGATAAATAAGATTTTTCATTTACTCAATTTTGTACTTTATAGCAGAGAAACCGAAATGATGTAGCCTATGGATAACATGTAACAAAAGCAAGCAAGCAAGCAAACAAGCAAACAAGCAAACAAGCAAGCAAACAAACAAACAAACAAACAAACAAACAAACAAACAATAATAAAAAAATAAAAAAGATCTTATGTGTATAGAAGATAATTATTTCTAGAGTTAGAGACATATTTTACTCAGAATTCTGACAAATTTCAAATTTATGACTTTTTTTCCACCAAAATTCTGATCTCTGGATTTAATCCCAGAAGTGATCCTTGATCTCAAAATTCAGAGATTAAAGTCAGATTTTTTTTCTCAAAAGCCTGACTTTATAAAGAATTCTGAATTTATTCCAAGAATTCTGTTAAAAAAGTTAAAATTCTAAAAATGTGAAAGAAAATTAACATTTTATTGTGACACTAATTCTGTTCTTCAACATTTAAAGCAACTGAGAGTTCCACAAAATGTTTTTACCTTTTAAGATTTTCACAAGTTTTCCCAGTCTTTTACTGCCTTAATTCAAACGTGAATTAGTTTTTTTCAACTATCAAAAAGTTTTTAAAAAATTTCAATGAATTCAAAAAGTATATATA